CCCCCTCACCTCCCACCCTCGCCTCCTCCTCTCCCCCGATTTCCTCACCGCCCGCTGGCGCTACGGCGGCGCCGAACCTCCGCCGAACCCTCAGCGCTTCACCTCCGCCCCGTGCGTCCTCGGCAACCCCGGCTTCACCGGCGGCCGCCACACCTGGACCGTCTCGGTGGCCGAGGGCCCGTTCTGCGCCGTGGGCGTCAGCCGCGAGTCGGTGCCGCGCCGAATCCCGGCGGCGTCGGCGTCCTTCGGCCCCGCCGCCGGCGTTTGGGCCGTGCAGCGCTGGGGCGCCGTCGGGCGGGCGCTGACGGAGCCGCCGACGGCGCTGGCGGCGCCGCGGGTGCCGCGCCGGCTGCGCGTGGCGCTGGACTACGAGGGCGGGCGCGTGGCGTTCTTCGACGGCGACGGCCGCGGCGCCGCGCCGCTCTTCGCCTTCCCGGCCGCCGCCTTCGGCGGGGAGCGCCTCCGGCCTTGGTTCTGGGTGGAGCTGGGGGAGATCTCCATCGTGCGGTGATGCCAAAATTCCGACGATCGTCCTGGAGTTCCGGCGTGCGGTGATCGCCGGAATTCCGTCGTGCGGTGATGCCAAAATTCCGTCGTGCGGTGATGCCAAAATTCCATCGATCATCCTGGAGTTCCTTCGTGCAGTGATGCCAAAATTCCATCAATCATCCTGGAGTTCCGTCGTACGGTGATGCCAAAATTCCATCGATCATCCTGGAGTTCCGTCGGGAAATGATCCTGGAATTCCATTGTCCAGTGATCCCAAAATTCCATTGTTCAGTGATCCTGGAATTCCATCGTGTGGTGATGCCAAAATTCCATCAATCATCCTGGAATTCCATCGTGCGGTGATGCCGGAATTCCGCCGATCATCCTGGAGTTCCATCGTGCGGTGATGCCGGAATTCCGTTGATCATCCTGGAATTCCATCGTGCGGTGATGCCGGAATTCCGTCAATAATCCTGGAGTTCCGTCGTGCGGTGATGCCAAAATTCCATCGTGCGGTGATCCCAAAATTCCGTCGATCATCCTGGAATTCCGTCGGGGAATGATCGTGGAATTTCATCGCGCGGTGATCCCAAAATTCCATCGATCATCCTGGAGTTCTGTCGGGAAATGATCCTGGAATTCCATTGTCCAGTGATCCCAAAATTCCATTGTTCAGTGATCCTGGAATTCCGTCGTTCGGTGATCCCAAAATTCCATCAATCATCCTGGAATTCCATCGTGTGGTGATCCCAAAATTCCATCAATCATCCTGGAATTCCGTCGTTCGGTGATCCCAAAATTCCATCGATCATCCTGGAATTCCATCGTGCGGTGATCCCAAAATTGCGTCAATAATCCTGGAGTTCTTTCGGGAAATGATCGTGGAATTTCATCGTGCGGTGATCCCAAAATTCCATCAATAATCCTGGAGTTCCACTGTTCAATAATCCTGGAATTTCATTGTTCGGTGATGCTGGAATTCCATCGTTCGATGATCGTGGAATTTCATCGCGCAGTGATCCCAAAATTCCATCATCT